TTAAGCTGCCTCCTTACCACTATAAATAACAAAGCCCTCATCCATTTCGAAACACAAAACCAAACATGAAGTCTCCAATTACCTTGTTAGCTTATACTTTTGTTGTCTTGTTTGTATCGGCAGCTTCTGCTCACAACCATGAAGATTTTCTTCATTGTCTTTCTCTTCATTCCCCTAATGGCTCATCAATTTCAAATATTATTTACACTCCAACTAATCCTTCGTACTCTTCAGTTTTGAACTTCTCAACTCATAACTTAAGATTCACAACTTCCGAAACCCCAAAGCCTCAAGTCATTGTCACACCATTGCAAGTTTCACAAGTTCAAGCATCTATCGTTTGTGCCAAAAACAACGGGTTTCAAATACGAACACGAAGTGGCGGCCACGACTATGAGGGTCTTTCTTATGTCTCTGACGTCTCCTTCATCGTCGTCGATCTAATAAACCTTCGGTCAATCAATATTGACGTGGAAAAGAAATTTGCATGGGTCCAATCTGGAGCCACCATTGGTGAACTCTATTATAGAATTGCAGAGAAAAGCAAAACTTTGGGGTTCCCAGCCGGGGTTTGCCCCACCGTCGGTGTTGGTGGGCATTTCAGCGGTGGTGGTTATGGTTTGATGCTACGGAAATTCGGCCTCGCTGCTGATAACGTGGTTGACGCTTACTTCATTGACGTCAACGGTAAACTACACGACCGAAAATCAATGGGAGAGGATGTTTTTTGGGCTGTTAGAGGAGGAGGTGGAGCAAGCTTTGGAATTGTTCTTGCATGGAAAATAAAGCTTCTCCCCGTTCCACCGGTGGTGACTGTTTTCACGGTTACAAGAAATTTGGAACAAAACGCCACCGACCTTGTCCACCGGTGGCAATACGTGGCCGACAAACAAGATGACAAACTTTTCATCAGAATTATATTAAGAGGCGTGAACTCAACGGATCAATATGGGGAAAAAAGGACAATTGAAGCAGCTTTCAACTCTTTATTCCTCGGAAAAGTCGAAAAGCTTCTTTCGATAATGCACAAGACTTTCCCTGGGTTGGGACTGGCAAAAGAAGATTGCATACAAATGAGTTGGATTGAGTCCATTCTCTATTTTGCCGGCTTCCCTAGAGGGGAGCGATTGGAGGTTCTTCTCGATAGAAGGCCATTGGTCCCCAAAAGATTCTTCAAAGCCAAATCAGACTATGTAAACGAGCCAATCCCCAAACCTGGGCTTGAGGGCATATGGAAATTATTCAACGAAGAAGATGCTGAAGCAGCAGAGATGATTCTGAGCCCTTACGGTGGAAAAATGAATGAGATTTCTGAATCAGAGATTCCCTTTCCGCATAGAGCTGGAAATCTTTACAAGATTCAACATTTGGTGTATTGGGAAGAAGAAGGCGAAGATGTTGCACAAAGACATATAAATTGGATTCGTAAGCTTTACAGTTATGTGGCACCTTTCGTCTCGAAGAATCCAAGAGCGGCATATATCAATTATAGAGACTTAGATATTGGGACGAACAACAAGAATGGGAACACGAGCTATGGGGAAGCAAGCATTTGGGGAGTAAAATATTTCAAGGGCAATTTTAAGAGGCTGGTGAGTGTTAAAACTAAGATCGATCCTTCTAACTTCTTCAGAAATGAGCAGAGCATTCCTTCTCTTTTGTCATGGTGGGAGAAGAGGGGACTTTAGATGACTTTAAATATATGATTGTGTGTACCGAAGAAAGCCCCATTTGATGGATGCATACGGAGAGAATAAGAGGGTTTTCTACTTTGGTTTAATTATAGTTTATGCCTTAATATAAAATTGCTTCCTTTGTATTCTTTACGTTCGTATATGATCAATTTGTATTCATAATTAGGCAACCTATATAGGTACAAATCCTATTGTGTATTTTTCGATAAATAAACAAAATATATCCTAATTTGTTCCTCCACTATTTTCGTATTTATTTTGTTTATTTTGGATCCTTATTTTCTCAGACTTTTTTCTAAATAATACTTTTTAACTTATTTTAATCGTAATTTAAAACCTATTAAATGAAAATTGTGTTTTTTGAAACTTACTCCAAAAAATGCATTCCATATTATGGTGTCACTCGGTCTCAATTGTACTATTGTCAGTATTTGGTAAACTCTTGAAGAGACGACCGTACAAATTTTTTTTCTTCTTTGCCAAAAGAAGGTCCTCTCTCCTACCGCAAAATGTATCGTTTCTTCAAGAGATATTCAATGTGCATGACAAACCCGTAATTTGGTCGTCTCTTGAAAGACTATTATGTCTTTTTTTTTTTTTACCCCATCCCACTTTATCTCTTCCCCTCCAACCAAAATCATCAACCACCATCTCTCTGGTGCTGCTTGCTGATTCTGCTGCCGCTCCGACCACCTCCGCTGTTGATGCTGCCGTAGATAATTTCAACAATATTTTGAAATCCTAACCAAAATTCATTTTTATAAGTTGTTGAAAAAAAAAATCAAATTCAATCTTGATTCAATTAAACAGATTTTAACTTAATTAAAAAAAGAAAAATATTCCACCAACAAAATAAAATAGCATACTAAATTTAAATTTAATTTAATAATACTTAAAAACATTAAGCCCAAATCATTTAGTAACATTTCTGTTCATTTACACATGGTAATACACTATCAATCACAAAATTCAAGTATATTTTAGGTCAAAACATTGGAGGTTCCATTTAAAGAAAAGAAGAAATAACCAATGAAAATCTTAATCATGGAAGCACATTTTCTTTTTCATTTAAACTCAAAATCTATGCCAATATTTTCATTACGAAATTATTAAGATATCTATAAAATTCGTATATATAAATTATATATAGACAAAAGAAAATTACGACTTAAAAAAATTAATTTGAGTTTAACATTATTGTACGTTCAAAAGAACTTAACCCAAAGAAAATAGCCACAACACATTTCGAGTGTGTTTGAGAGTGATTTTGGTATGGCAAAACCATTTTTGTCATTGTCAAAATCATTTTCATTTACATTAATCATGTTTGGCAAATTAAAAAATTGATTTTAGAATAACATAAAATCATTTAAAATTCATTTTTAAAATATAATGATTTTGGAAAATCAATTATCCTTAGATCTCTTTTTTCAAAATCACTCCTTGCATCACTTCCAAACATACCCTCCATAAATAACGAAGTTAAGGGTACATTTTGGGGCTACAATTCATAATTCAAAGAGGAAGCAAAATTCAGCCAGCATATTTGAATAACTATTGAATTTTTTTTAATATATAACACAGTTTTTGTAATTACAAAATAGTTTTTTTTAGTACAACGGGTAAGGATGGAGTCAAACTCACATCCTCTTGGTTAAAGATATATGCTAATTACCGTTGAGTTATGCTCGCTTTAACGTAATTACAAAATAGTATAATCTTGATGCAATACATATTAAATAATTAATATGTTAAATTACAAATAGATATTTCTACGAAGGTAAAATTTAAAAATTCTCTTTTGTAATATTGCATCATAAATCTGGATGAGAATTCGAACTTACCACCTAGGTCTACAAATGTAGAGATTGAGGATTAAACCTCTCCGACTCATATGAAAAGAGCAATATTTTTTAACTGTTATGAGCTAAGTTCATATTGACATATACATGAGTTGGTATCATATTTTATCTATCATTTTTTATTTGAGAAGCCTAGTTTATTTGTCATATGGTTTAATAATAACTATTGCCTATTACATTATATAGATTTTTTTAGTACAACATATAGAGGTGGGGATTCGAACTGATCATGACCTTTTGGTTATAAGTATCTTGCTTGCTATAGGATCCATTTTTCTGATGGGGTTTATCACCACTTTAGCTACTTTAGTGGCTTGGCCAGTTATTCGAGATTTCGGAGTGGGGTGAGACGGCAATTCGATAGAATCAAGGTCGGATCGAACCTGGACTCTCGAATCTTTTGCTTCTTGGATAGCGGTGAACAATGCAACTTGCGTTGCGGGAGATGTCCGCTTATCGGAGAGCTAGCTAACTCGTTGAGTTACGTTCAAATTTGCTATATTACATGATATTTTGTTTAAATGAATTGTATATTATATCTTTATATAGCATATTAAAATAATCATCATTTTTATGTAATGATGGCATTAAATTATGCTTTGTTATTACTTTTTGTTAGAAATAACAAAAATATGCGCATCGTTGAACTATAAAAAAAAAATAAAAAATTAGGTTCTTGTTATTTAACTTTTCAAGAAAACAAACGATTGGTTTTCTTTCTTTTTATTAGTTTAACAGCATGGGTGGGGATTTAAAGTTCATACATTTAGGACAAATTTATAGGGACATGTTTGGGATGTGTAAATTTAAAATACGTGTTCTATCTGAAGTGAATTTTCTTTTTTTCTTTTTTTTTTAAGTACAGTGGTTGAATCATAACCACTTCTGTAAAAATTGTTTAATAAATTATTTTAATGTTTGGTTCTGCAGTTGATTCTGATAGGTTTAAAAGTTGTTTTGAATAATTGATTTTTGTTTTGAAAAGTTATTTTAGAATAATTAAATTACTAAAATAGAAATAACGTTTGAGAGGCAAAAGAGAGAACAAGAATTCAAGATAAAAGAAATTAGGGGCCATTTATTTTTTGGGAAGGCAGATGCCCGACATCTTAGATATCTGGAATTTTAGATGTCTGAGCCACGTTTGTTTTGCAGGATTTATTAATCAGAATGTTATAAATTTATATAATGTTCCGAAAACACTCTTATGAATATTCATATGATTTATACATTAATCTAATATAATTTACATTTATATAATAGATTTTCTTAAAATTAATATTTTAAGTTTTTTTACACTAATTGTCTGTATGTATTAATTTTTGTATTTTATTAGGTAGAATTCATATTAATATAAGATTTTTTGAAACGTAATTAATATTGAATATAAATTTCATTTTCAACTTTAATATTTTTTGATATATGTATTATTGAGCATTTTTTAGCTTTTTACCGTGAAGGAAAACCGAAGCAAAAAAAGGGAGAGTGGCGCATTGTTTTTCTTCGGAAGAGCAAAAGAGAAGAAGTGGATCTTGGACTATAGAGTGTTGTCTACACTCGGTATACTTAGAAGTTAGTATCTTTTTGCTGGGAAATTAACTGACCTTAATAATTTCCCATTCTACAGAAAATATCAACACAACCAAGAATATGCAAATAGAAAGAAAAGCAGTAAACGACACAGCAAATTATACTGGTTCACTAGTAAGGGCTACGTCCAATCTTCCACTTAGATGTGAGTAATTCACTAATATTGTTAGTCATTGGATACAATAACACTCCCCAAAATATCCCTTAGGTCTCAACAAAAGCCCCCTAGCTTCTAAGTATTTTACACAATTAATATTTAGGAACATGAATGAAAAACTCACAGAATCAAGATACAATTACCCGATAATATCGATCTTCATCAACCCCAAAGCTTCTGTCAATGTCCAAGCCGTTGCCACTGATTTGCTGCAAAAAAAACCCTCTGAAAACGGCTGCAAATAACCCCCTTTTCGACTGGTAAACCCTAAAATCCGAAGGCTGGATATTTATAAACATCGAAACAGCACCATGGCGCTGTCCCCGGTGCCATGGCACTATGGACGCAAAACTGCACCGGCACACCAACTAGGACAGCGCCATGGCGCCCTAGAGCGGTGTCGCGACACTGTCTTCTTTGGCCCAAGTGGCCTACAGTGGCCCGCTTCCCCATTTTTCATCCCCGCTTAGACCCGACGCGTCCCAGCTTGATCCCGACTCATACCTAGCTCGTTCTGACTCCACTAATCCCAACAGTTTTGTCTACTTTGGAGTTCTTATGATCGAGTTACCGAAAAGAAAGGTGCACATTCTTAGTATACGCAGTAACTATCAATTCTTTTAAGTCATTTCTCAACCACACTTTCATGGTCTCATGATCCCTCTCATTCGGATATGGTATCGGTTCATTCATGTACTCCTCCTCTCTATTCGGACGTTGCAGTCTGTCCAAGAATGTGGTGAGTCTCATGGCGAATGAGACAATGGTGATAGGTCTGATGAATGCACTAATGAACAGGTATGAAAAAACCCTCTGTCAATAATAAGATATATCTTGTTAGAAGAAATTTTAACATTCGAATGGGTGAGAATGCTTTTGTGAATTCTCATATAAATGAAGTTACTAATTTAATCAATCAGTTAGCTTCCCTGAAGATTACATTTAGTGATGAGGTGAATGCTATTTTATTGACTTATTTGCCTGAAAGTTGAGAAACGATGAAGACGACTGTGTCTAATTCGTTAGGAGATAGAAGTTTGAAATTTTTAGAAATTTGAGATGTTGCAATTACTGAAGAAATTCATAGGAAAGAGAGAATTCACTTCTAGTTTTGCATCTGGCCCAACATTAGCGGTTCAACTGAAAGGTAAAAAAAATGTTGAATACGATGATAGCAACATAGAAATTGAGGAAGAATGGGAATGGAGAATTCGAATGTTATTACTGCCACAAGAAGGGCCACTTCAAGAAACACTTTAGAACCAACAACATTGACAACCAGGATAGATCTATTAGTTTAGGTTCAACAATTTGAAGGTCTGGAAAAGAAAAAGAAAAAGAGTTATGTTGGTTGTCAGGTAATAGCCCTAATTGTCAGACGGTTCAGCGAATTGATGAAGTCGTATACGCGAAATGATGCATCAAAGAGAAAGACTACAGTTGGTGCTGAGGTCGAGGTTGGAGTTTCTAGCTTGGTAACAGGCTTGAATGGGGATGTTAAGTCAACTTCTTTCTTTGGGAGTCGTTGGGCAGGATTGAAGAAGGAAGTATTGGGAGGTATCACTTAGTTCGAGCAGGAGCACGCGGCAATATCTTTTACGTCTGGGAGACAAGACCACGTAGGTTG